TTTTAATTTTATTTTTTATCACAATATGTGGTTATTGAGTTGTTCTCGCGTTTTCGTAAATCACAGGGGTTCTCGTTTGAACCATTCCCTATATATATATATGTGTGTGTGTGTGTGTGTGTGTGTGTGTAATGTTAATATTCTTTGTTTAGTTCATTTAATTCACTAAGCCCCGTGCTTGATCCGAATTCTCCAACATATTTCTTTTTCAGGAAAAGAATTAGTCAAGGGAAAGGATTCAGTGAAATAGTTGATTCGGTTGAAGTTGAAGAACTTGATCTAGTTTTGATACATGATTTGTGATTTTTTTTTTGGTAATATTTTGGCATATATATATACATATATATATATATATTAATCATTCTGGGTAGTTATATTATGTCCTGGTTGGTTTAGGTTTATTTGGTTGTAAGTAATTAATAATTTTGGTTGTCTTTGATTTTATCCGGTCAAACCGTTTGAACATTTTTGATGGTTATAAACTAAAGTTTGTATCCCCTATGTTTTGGAGGTTTAAAATTAATGTTTTGATGATTGTGGGTTAATTGGACGTTCTATAACCACAGTGTTACACAAAAACACAAACTCAAACTCAAACTCAAACACATAAAGATACAAATTCTCTCACTCAAAGGCAGAATCATAAAGTCAAACATGTGTATAGATACACATATAACAAAACACAACATGAACCTCCTCCATCCTCATTGTCCACTTACCACAACTAAACCAAATGGCAAAACCAATATACAAGTCTAAAATCAAACCTAAACCTAAATGAAAATGGAGATGGAGTTGAGATTCACTAAAGGGATTGCCAGATATGAAGATACTGATGAGTTTGGAGTCATAATCTTAATTGGAGTTGAGCCATCAGAATCTAAAGTAGAAATTGAAGTATGCTTCACTTGTGATCTCTCTCTAGATTTGTTTCATTCTCTTGAAAAGTGTGTGTTTAAATTGTATGAATTGATCACCGTAAAAAGAACACAAAGTGCAGCAGGGGTGGGGGTTTTGGGATATGTTGTGGGCATGGTGGTTTCTTATATATATATATATATATATATATATATATATATATATATATATATATATGTGTGTGTGTGTGTGTGTATAGGGGTTTACTCAAGAAAAAACTGATTAGTTTGTAGTAACATGAAATTCAATTCAACTACACAAATCAATAATCAATGCCTAAAAATAAATCAAAATGTATTTACTAAAATTACAAAAAAAAGGACAAATAATTAATAGTTGGATATGAAGAAGGGTAAAACAGTCATTACATGTTGAAAATCAATATGGTCTAATTTGGGCGCGCCGGAGAAATCCATTAATCATCTCACTGAAAGATATTCAATCAAATATCAAAAAAATAAATATACTGGAGGAGCCTAGAAGTCGATTTGAGCAACTGAATCATAAAAACCCTAGAAATTGATTTGTGCGCTTATGTTGGAATCTACAGAAGCATAACAATGGAGGCGAACGAAGGAGAAGGTATTAAGGTTTTTTCTTCTTGATTTCACTATTAACCACAATGTGCTTATGCTTTCTATCATATAATACGTATGAGGTAGAAGGAGTTAGAGGTTTAAAGTGAAGAGAACATTCACCTTCTCCAACAAAGCAATCGATGTTGAGAATGAGGATGAAGATGACCTTGATCGAAGACCTATTGAAACAACATGTATCACAATATTTAAAGATATGAAATTATTTTGAACAATGTTAAATGGTTTTGGTTGTATTGTTGTGATCTCGAGAGTGTGGGTACACAATATTGGATATGGTTCGTCAATAATTTGTAGATTTTGTTTTAAGATTTTGTGTTACAATATGGTAAAAAAATGTGGTTCCATGTGGTGTCCAAGATTGTTCATAGACGAATATATTTTTGAGAAATAATCAATAACACTTCAATAGTCAATATTCTTAATCGAACGAGTTCGTTGTGTCTAGTGTATCATATAATATGGATGATCTATATGAACATAGTAGCAGTCAACATGAATGAGCATACACTCGATGTTTAATAGTAAACACTGTTCATATTGACAATTTGTTCATTGATGAACACTGTTCACCAGTCACACATACGTACACATTCAGGTATGCGTTCACTAATAAACATTTTCATATATGTTATATTCTCATTGGTGAAAAATGTTCATAAACTACTTATATATAACAATTGTTCATTAATTCACACCATTCATAAGTTACACATTACATATTAATAAATGAATGAATAATTGAAACTTGATGTCGGTTTCAAAACGATGGAGTAATTACCGGAACAGTAATTAATGCTAAAAGAAATCTCTCTACTCGTTTCCAAAATTACATTTTATTCATGATTGTTCACCTATGTTTATTAAACATCATTTTTTAATTTATTACAAAAATGTCATGATGAATTTTATCCATAGATTACAAAAATTAAAAGTAGGATCGGTTCATAAAGTTTACACTATATATTGAATTATATATATATATATATATATATGTGTGTGTGTGTGTGTGTGTGTGTGTGTGTGACTATTTATAATATATTAATCATGATCATAATTAGGGATGTAAACGAACCGAACATTCAGCGAACCGTTCATGAACTGTTCGGCGTGAAGTTCATTTATGTTCGTTTATTTAATAAATGAACGGATATGAACAAATTTTTTTGTTCGTTTAATTAAACGAACGAACATGAACAAGAGTCTCGTTCGTTCATTTATGTTCGTGAACATTCGTTCATTTACCGTTCGTTTATATTCGTTCGTTTATGTTCATTTATATATTAAAATTAATATATAATCTTTTGTTTATTTACTTTGAATTCTAATAATATTTCTTTATGTTCATTTAACCCGTTCGTTTACGTTCGTTCGTTTAACATGTTAACGAACGAACATAAACGAACACGAACACACATGATTTTTAAACGAACGAACACGAACACAAAGATTTTCGTTCGTTTACCGTTCGTTTGTTCGGTTAAGTTAAATGAACGAACATGAACAAGTCTCCGTTCGTGTTCGTTCGGTTCGTTTATAGCCCTAATCATAATCAATGAAAACAAAATTAAATACCACCATAACATCTTCCTTGTTTCTCTACCTCTTGTTTGCTGATGACTCACTCATACCACTAGCAAAAGTGGCAGTAGCCACTCTAAAAGATCCTGATTTAAAGCCACATAATACTCGGTCTTTTCTCTTACATAGAAAAACTTGGAGGCATTTCAGTTATATCACATGCTCAATCTTTCCACATACACACACATATATATATACATAACCCCAAACCCTAACCCTAACCCTAACCCTAACCCTAACCCTAAACCAAACTCTCTCTATATATACATACATACATATATATACATATAAGTTGAAGCTTAATTCATCAAGATAGGAGGGAAATCAATGGGAAATCACAAAATACATTTACTGCTCTTATTCCTCTTCTGTGTATTTCTTGACACCATACTCATGGCTGCACCTGATGACAATCAAAGAAAGGTACCCTAATTATATATCAACCTATTTTCTTTGTTTCGGTATCCACCTACAATTTGGAGGGTTTTTACGTTAAGGCTTTTGGGACACTTAAACATACCCATAAACTCATGACAAGAAAAACCCTATTTCTGTTTAAAAAACACACAGCCATTTCTATTAATCCAACTGCAATTAATGTTTACCATCGAATGTATATCGTTCTCTGTCTGTACACAAAAAGCTCCACCAAGAAAGGGTTTTATGAGATCAAACAGAGGAGAGGCTGTTCTCTCACAATAACGTGGATACCATGCACCCAATGAGCCCTTGGTTTTGGTGGATATGTGCACCGTGTGTATATATATACTTGGGATCACGTGACACCAGCCTGTTTTCGTGAGACCCGTGAGACCAACTTTTTACACTTGAAACTTCACAGCAAAATGCTGTGAAGATTCGACTTTTTTAAACCTTCACAATGTTTTTGTTGGGAAGTTTCAAGTGTAAAAATATGGTCTCACGAAAACAGTCTGGTCTCACGTGAATCCGAGTCTATATATATATATATATATATATATATATACACACACACAAATGAGTGTATTTATATATAATTTGAGGGTTCTTTTCTTCTTGCAAAATCTTTAACTTCTCGTATGATACTTTCTCCCCTCTCTCTATATATATGAGAACTTCATGTGTTTTCTTTGTGGTTTTTCTCATAAATGTTGTTTTAGCCGTACATAGTCTACATGGGAGCAACTCCGACAAAGATGACGATGACGTTGATGGCGAATGATCATCAGAGTCTTCTTTCGGAAACCATTGGAGAGTACGTTCAATACTTACATTAATAACACTACTGTCTAACGACTATTATCAATGGAACAAATCCCTTCGAAACCAATATTGGTCAGTACAAAATCTTAACCGACTCCGTTGATAATAAATTAGTAACCACGTACGATAATACTTTATAAAATAAAATGTTGACCCACGGAATATCGACAAAGGGATTAACGCCGAATACCCTTGTTGACGGATTACCAACACACCAACCGTTCTAACTTGGGTAGCTATTACGTATACTAGGCCCATGGTTTATCAATGACAGATTTCCGACAGATTACTTGAAGAGTTTACAAAAAATGGAAAAATATTAAAAACATAACACTTTGGTTTTTTCCGACACTTAACGATAGAAATACAACCCGTCCCGTAGCTACCATTGATAGCTCAGTAATTGTTGTAGTGACGATGGTGCATTTGTCGCAAAGGCATCACATTTTTATAATGGAAAATCTATTAAAATAGCCATTTTTCAAGGTTGGTTTCACCCCCTAGCCATTTTCTCTCTAAGTTTATCAAAATAGCCATAGATCCGCAAAAACCCACGTCCACAATTGCGAACCCAACTAAACAACAAAGAAAATTACACTCTCTATTCCTGTTCGCAAAAAAATTTACATTTCTCACCCAAATCCTCAAAAAAAATACATTTTTCGCCCAGGTCAACAAAAAAAATTAAAATTCCGGACCTATGGCTATTCTTTTATAATTTGTGGTGTTATTTGTTGGGTTGCATTTTGGTTAACGAGTTGTGATTATTATTGTAGTGAAATAGTAGCAAGACAATCCAAGCTGCATAGTTATGGAAGGAGTTTTAATGGTTTTGTGGCAAACTTGTTACCACGTGAAGCAGATCAACTCTCAAGTAAGTTTTCAAAACACAAAAACTATGTCATATTTCGTTACTAAAATTTCTAGATCCGTCACTGGTCTCGAACTCACGATGGACGAAAACCGGAAGGAAAAAAACACAAAACCTCGATATCTCTTCAAGGGTTTTCATTGTTTGCAGGGAAAGAAGGAGTTCTATCGGTGTTTCCGAACTCCATTCAGAAGCTTCAGACAACGAGATCATGGGATTTCGTTGGAATGCCGCTAAAGAGAACGGAAAGGAACACAAAAGCGGAAAGCAATCTGATCATTGGCGTTCTAGATACAGGTGACGAATCGATGATTCTAATTATTGATACAGATGCTTTGTAGTTTTTCTAAAAAAGAGTATCGAAAAAGCGTTTGCTAAAATCTCTATTTTAATACAGCTGTTACTGTTACGTGATGTTAATGTTGTGTAGGGATTTGGCCACAGTCGCCTAGCTTTAATGACAAAGGCTTTGGCCCTCCTCCTCGCAAATGGAAGGGTAAATGCTTTGTGGGTGGTAACTTCACTGGTTGCAACAAGTACCTCCTCTCTCTTTTGCTCTCTTAAATAAATTTTAGGGGCCGTTTATCAAACACTTATCCGGTAAGTGCTTACCGGTAAAATTTAACACTATTGTTTACTTCTCGGGTAAGATTTTTGTCCACCAAAACGGTATCGTATGCAACAATTTACCAGGTAAGCTCTTACCGAGGTAAGCTCTAACCGTGGTAAGAGTCGTCCCCCTCACTTACCGGGTAAAACTCTTGGTCCTTGTCTCGCTTATACTGGGTAAGATTCTTGGTCCTTACCATATTTATCCGGTAAGATAATGTGACTTGGTGTTCACTTACCCGAGTAAGCGTTGGTTAAACAGCCCCTTAGTGTTTTAGGGTGCATTTGGTGTCTAGACAAAATAGAATAAGATGAGAACGGAGCAAGTAAAAATGACTAATTTACCTCTAATGAGTTGTTTATATATTTTTTGATTAATTACTAGTTGTATGTATATACATATATTTCCGAATCAAACAGCAAAGTGATCGGAGCACAATATTCGTACATCGGAACCCCACCAGACCAAAAACTATCGCCTGTGGACGAGGATGGTCACGGAACACACACAGCTTCCACGGCGGCCGGAGTTCCAGTGAAGGGTGCGGGTCTTTACGGTATTGGCAAAGGCACAGCACGAGGTGGGGTGCCATCAGCCCGCATAGCAGCTTATAAAGTTTGTTGGGCTTCGGGTTGTTCAGATATGGATCTGTTAGCCGGATTCGACAGTGCGATAGCCGATGGGGTGGATGTGATATCGGTGTCGGTTGGAGGAAGTCCAAGAAAATTCTTTCAAGATTCCATAGCCATTGGAGCTTTTCACGCAATGAAGAAGGGTATTTTCACGGCTTGCTCGGCCGGAAACGAAGGTCCCGACCTGCTCACGGTACAAAACGTGGCGCCGTGGATCACAACCGTGGCTGCATCAAGTATAGATCGCCAGTTTATAGCTGATGTTAAGTTGGGTAGCGGTCAAACCATCATGGTATCTCTCTCTCTCTCTATATATATATAGGGTTGGCTGGTTGGGTTCACTTGAGCCCAACCTGTTTTACGAGACTATATTTTTATACTTGAAACTTTATATTGTGAATGTAAAAAATCCGAACCTTCATTGAAAAAACTGTGAAGTTTCAAGTGCAAAAAAGTGGTCTCATGGGTCTCACGCAAACATACTGGTATCAATATATATTGCTTATAATAATCTTGATAACTTGTGTTTCCTGATAGGGAGTTGCTGTGAATACATTTTCAAACAAGAAGAAAATGTATCCGTTAACAAGTGGCACACTTGCAGCCAATATCACCCAAATATACAGAAACGCAAGGTTCATGAATATAGCTTAATATATGTCTTATTTGATCATACATTTCATAAACACTAATCTGCAAGAAGAATCTATGTGGCAGGTTTCATCAGAAAACCTAAAATTGATTTAAGAACCAAGGATATTCAACATGAATATGAATATTGACGTGAATGTTATAGCATATTGATTATGAATAAGTGTGATTCATGATGAATAACACCTCCATATTCATCATGAATGTACATGTTATTATGAATATTCATTTACTTGGCTGGCTATGGATAGTTCCCGTGTTCTTAATCAATTTCGGGTTTCTAAACGGAACTTCCCTCTACATGTTTGTAATTAAGATCGAATGAGTTAATGCAGTGCTTGCGAGTATGGATCTTTGTCGGACGGATTGGTGAAAGGAAAGATTGTGTACTGTTTGGGAAAAAACCAACAAGATCACATACTCTACAACCAAGGTGTCGCAGGAATAATTGTATCCCGAGAGAGCGACAACGATACACCTTCTCCTTTTCTCATCCCAGGAACAACCGTAAGTCCAGAGGAGGGCAAAAACATCGATGCCTACATCAACTCCACCAAGTAAGTATATAATATTTATATACAACAAATTGAACTCCGGATATGTACATTTCTTATCAATGGCCCTTTGGTAGAAATCAATGATGATATCAATTAACGACATTTATGACCGAAATCGAGCACTCGTTAATTCACAGAATGTCGGTAGCTGTCATACATAAATCAAGATCCATGACGCTGGCTGATGCCCCATTTGTCGCAACCTTCTCTTCTAGAGGACCACAATTGGTAACTCCGAACATCCTCAAGGTATTCTTTCTTGTTGCTACAAAAGGATGTAATTTAACCACATGGGTAGTGCATGATTGGTTTGAGTTTGGCTTCAAAGTTCAAAAGTACCAGGAGGTCACAGGTTCAAATCCAAGTAGAAATAAAAATCCCCTTGTAGCCACATAGGTTAAAATGCGGCGACTCCGGACTATCTGCAAAATAGATGGTCGTCTTGGGATTAGTCGGCTCGCATAGCAGGTTGGATATCCAAGTTAATAAAAAAAAAAGGATGTAACTTACGACACAACGCGGTGTCCTATTAGTTTGTACAACTTGGGTCCATATAACTTGTTAGGTTCTCTAATATCGTGTTAACAACTTATGGTAACATTTCGAGATAAGACGCACAATTTTGATATGTAAGTACTTTAATATAGAATGTATTTTTGCGTCCTAAAAGATCCATTTTACTGTAGTGTTTGATGACGGTCGAAGAACATGTACCATGTTCGTTTTCTTCGATTGCTAAGACAATTTTTGGTAACATGTTGGTTTTCTAATGATGCCTTTCTCATGAATGAGATTTACGGTACAGCCTGATATCGCTGCACCTGGACTCGGTATATTGGCTGCATACTCGAAACTAACAAGCATGACCGGCCACCCGGACTACGATAAACGATTTGTGGATTACCAAATAGCGTCTGGAACATCAATGGCGTGCCCGCATGTTTCTGCCGCTGCCGCCTATGTCAAGTCTTTTCACCGCACTTGGTCACCTGCCGCAATCAAATCGGCACTCATGACAACAGGTGAGTTATGTTATTCCTCGTATAATTGGAAAAACAAAAACCCGAAAGCTTATTGAAACCCTACTTGAAATAGTTTTGTTTTTCAAAAAACTAGCTTATAAGCTAACCAACATTACAACGAAATTTGGTTTATAGGACGCAAAAATCCTAATATATTGTTTTATAGGACTTAAGTTTATAAAACCAGACAATTATAAAAGCGTTGCAATCATTTACACAACGTTTTTATGCGTCTTAACAAGTTTTTTTAGAACATTTTTAAATTACTATGAATTTTTGTATTAGAAAATCTCTTCTATAGAAAGATATATTCATAACACACTTCTCAAAAATAAGACCCCACTTTATTTAAACACTACAACAAAATCGGGTTTATAGGACACTTTTAAACTCTAAGTGTCCTAATAGACCTCTTTATAGGACTTAGTTTATAGGACCAAAAAAATAAAGTGTTATATCTAAAGGTGTTGTAATAAGTTTATATGACCTTTTTTGATGTCGTAATAAGTTTTTTAGGACACTTTTATTATAAAGCGTTCCATTATCAACTTTATAGGGACACTATTTGAAAAATTGTCCTATTAAAACAAATGTCCTATAAAAAATTGAGTTTATAGGACACTTTCTCAAAGTGTCCTATAAAGTTGATAATGCGATACTTTGTATTAAAATTGTCCTAAAAAAACTTGTTAAGACGCCCAAAAACGTCATATAAACTTATTACAACACATTTAGATATGACACTTTATATTTTGGTCGTATTAATTAAGTCCTATAAAACGGTCTATTGGGACGCTTAGAGATTGGAGGTGTCCTATAAACCCAATTTTGTTGTAGTGTAAATGATGTCCAAAATAACATGTTAAAACGTTCAAAAACGTCCTATAAACTTAATGCAACACTTTCACACAGGACACGGTTGTTTCGTGAAGTCTGTAAAGCAGTGTATTAATTAGCGTCCTATAAACCCGATTTCGTTGTAATACAAACATGACTTTTTCAATAATCAACATAACTTTTCCTCATTCTCAACCCATGTTATATAAATTCCCAGCAACACCAATGAAGATCAACACAGCAGCAATGGAGTTGGCATCAGGCTCTGGTTTAATAAACCCTACAAAAGCAGTAAACCCTGGTCTCATATATGACATCAACACAAGTGCCTACATTGCTTACTTATGCAAAGTAGGTTACAACAGCACAACACTTGGCATACTCAATGGTGGAAGACATCAATATGACTGCAAAAACTTCAAACCAACCAGAGGTGTTGATGGTCTCAACTACCCTTCAATGCAGTTGCAGGTTGAACAAAACGTCACCAACTTTTCCGCCGTCTTCAAACGGATCGTTAAGAACGTAGGAGACGAAAGAGCGATTTACGAAGCGAAAGTGGTGAAACCTTTGGGTCTTACCATCACAGTAACACCACCTGTTTTGAAGTTTGAGAAGCTGAACCAGAAGTTAGCATTCACAGTTGTGTTGGAAGGGGCTTTTGTTAAGAAAGATGCATTTTTGTTGTCTGGATCGATTGAATGGAGGGATTCTAAGCATTCTGTAGTGAGTCCAGTTAGTGTATACAGGTATATACCTCCGGTATTGCAGGATGAAATAAGGGTTTAGAGGTTAATTTCTTATGATTTGAACACCTATGGGATTTTAGAGATTTTTCTGTTATTTATGGATTATTTTTATTCGAGTAAATTATGGTTTTCGTTCGTTCGTGTTGTTTTGTTGAAAATCGAAGTTTTTGTTTTTGCGTTTTTGAAATTGCAGTCGGGTTTGTATTTCATTAATTGTTTCATATCTATGTAGACAGGACGTTCCAATCTTTTTGGAGGCCCTATTACATCCAAAAATTTTAATTACATTGCATAAATGAGATGACAGAGAATATATGTTATGAATAAAAATGGGCTAAACTTGAAATAATTAACAATCTGAATCTAAACCTAAACCATTAATGATTTGACCTTAAAACCAAATAATTAACGGTTTGAACCTGAATAATTTCGACTAAAGTTTTACACAAGTCGATAAAAATACCCTAAATACATGTAAATTTAGGCCCCAAAATTTTGGGGGCTCTGTTCAAAATCTCAGATTTAACATGCTAAAGCACGGCCATATATGTAGTTTGTAGTTCATTTCTCATTTCCGTTCACAAGCTTAACCTGTGACGGAAGAAAAATCACATGTCTCAAATTTTCACGTCTCGGTGTTATCCACCAATTATATGAATATAACTAGTAACTAATCCCAACATGGAAGTACTGAAAAAACTCGCCCCATTTCCCGATTCTAACCCTTTTTCCGGCGAAAGACCTTCGGAGAGAGGCTCGGTGAAATAGACATGTCTGTGAAGATGCGGACATTATCAAGAAATAATGTGAACGTGAAATTAAAATAAATAAAGTAATTTGATGTGTCTTAATTAATTTAATTTCAGTGGTAGGATAGGAACGGGACGTGGGAATTTGGAACGAGAGATTTTTGTCCGACCCATGTACGAAAACAATAACGAATTGAAAACTATGGAGACGAAAAGCATAAATTCGGAAGTATAGAAGTAAAAGTCGCAATTTTAAACAAAGCAGGGGAATGAAAGATCGATGTTGTTTACTGTTCTTATGTTTATGAAGTTCGATGATAGCTCAAAGTTCTTCCCAGATGATAACGTTTGTTATATTGGTAGATCCAGGAATTATGGTGACTGAAATAGAATTTTAATTAACGTAATCTATACTATATTATAAAGCATTTGACAAAAATTCTTAAAAATCATTTTTTATGCATGAAGTATTGCGTATTAATGCATAATTACTTAAAATTTAATATTATAAGTAAATTGTGTGTAGATACAACTTATTAAAGCTCCATTTTTGAATTCGTATAACTAACTGCAGATAAACATAATCAAATACATGATAAACATATTATTTTAAATATAAAAAATCTAAAATATAATTAGAATAATCATTGAGTTCTTACAGAATCATTATCTTTATAAAATTTTATTGTTAAGGCGAAAATAAATTACTTCATTAAATCGTAAAAACATTATCTTTCTCAAAACCACATAAATCGTATTAAATTATTATATCAACAGAGACAAAAAAATAAAACGAAATATTAAAATAAAGATATATCTCGCTGCATTATGCGAATACCCTTCTAGTATATATAAATGAGAAACAACGTACATTTTCTACAGAGTTTTTATATTTTGAAAATGATTAATCACATGTGCTTGAGTGCTTATTTTACCACTAACAAATATCAATTCTAATATTTATCTACGTATTTAAACCAGTTTCAACTTTTTTTTTATATCGTTAAATTTATTATGAACGACAATTATAATTGGATCCCCAACTTCGCTCACATCTTTTGATTTAGCGCGACATCATAACTCAATGTCGTGGTTGGACCAAAATGTGTTTTGCATCAAATCCATGCTTTTCAACGTTATGCAATATTTTTTTTCACATGTTTTAATAAGAAATTTCTCGTTGTAGTAAGAAGGGCGCTGCATCAATTATATTGCACATTTTGTTTTCTATTCGATAAAAATGCCCAATTGTGTAGTTTTGACAAATTTCAGTTATGGTTGATGATTACTTCAATAACAAATTCAGGAACGAAAATTTGGCCCAACAACTACCGACTTGAAACTCGGAAAAACCGGAATCATATGAGGCCATTTTTCACAAGAAAATTGGAAGTTGCTACAAAATAATTTCGTAAAATATCCTCAAAACACGAAATAATCTCAAAAATTTATCAAAACCATAGACAAATTGTAAACTTTGACGGATTTAATGACGGGTTTAAAAGAACAACATTCTAATATATCAAAACCATACACAAATTGTAAACTTTGACAGTGTTATAACTTCATTCTAATTGACAAATTCCTTATATGATTATAACCAGGTTGGTCTAACGGTCCTAATAACTAATAAGATCTGTTGGGTCTGCCCGTCCCTTGGGCTAGTTACAGATGCTTGTCTCAATTGGCTGCCTGTTTCCGTATTACCCTAAAAAAGAAGAAAAAAAATTCGACTTTGAGCCACTTCTTGAACGGTTTTCAGAATTGGCGTCAATTTATGGTTATTTTTTGAAGTACGTTACCTGAAACAGGAAACCAACATACGCATTTTGCCCATTTGAAAGAATAGAGGTTCTAGTTTCAAATGTGAACAAGAAAAATATAATCATAGGGCAAGTTTGAGATATATAGAGACAAGTTATGATGACAAATAGTAGCAGACAGTGTTAATTAGTAAGTTAATTACCAGATAGTTAGGTGCAGTTTACCAAACGCTTACCGGGTAAGCGATTACCAAGTCACTTTACCGAATGAATATGACAAGGACTAAAAATCTTACCCGGTAAGAGCGAAAACAAGAATCGAGAGTCTTACCCGGTAAGTGAGGACAAGAACTCTTACCATGATTAGCCCTTATCGGGATAAATTGTTGCATACGATGTGCTTTAGTGAATAAAATCTTACATGGTAAGTAAGCAATAGTGTTGAATTTTACCGGTAAGTGCTTACCAGGTAAGTTTTTAGGTAAACGGCCCCTTAGTCATCCATCAACACTCACTCAGTTAGTACCTGGCACGGCTAGAAAAGTAGGAACAAAACTAGTGTTCCTTTTTTCTTTGATAATTTTGGATATCCCGGCCGGTTTGCAACCACTCCCATGGGGATCTGAAGTCAATAGTCATGTAAACCTTTGGTTGTCCGGCCGCGAATTGGCAACGAATGGGTAGAAAACCCAACACAGGAACCGAACTTTGGAACACTAACACCTGTGCAAATGTAACCCTCTTTAACTCTGCTTGTTTGGAATCCCATGTCCTTGCATGTCAGCAAATCCAGCTTTCATAGATGTGAACACCCAAACCTTCAGCTTTTTCTAGAGGCAAAAGAGGAACAGGCACCAGAATTTAAAATAAAACGTTTGCATTCGGTAAGTAATACAAACCAAACGAAACGAACTTCGCATATCCCACTTGGAAGCAGGGAGGAGAGGCTGTTTCCGTGAAGGTCCTCTGCCAGTGCATAACGCAAAGGAAAAAACTGTTACAAGAAGCTGTGGATGCACTTGTTGATGATGGAATCTGCAGACAACCAATGGAAAAAGATGGGTAATAGAACACGTAATATAATTAGAAACTAAACGTGCGGGGCCTATTCCCTTATCTCTGCCCTCCTCTCAATAACCTCAACCAGATTCTATTAGAAAATCGGCCACTCAAGTTTTGTGCCTCCAACATAATTCATATTAAGAAAGATGCAAGAAACCATAAACTAACCGATAACCAAGCGTAAGTTGAACTGGTGACGTCTAAAGGACTTGGTTTGCTCCCCAGTTCAAATCCCCTTTAGCGCTGGCCATGTCGGATGTCGGATTAGTCGGGGTGTGTGTAAAATCCCCTCTAGGGCCACATGGATTAGTCGGGGTGTGCGTAAAACTCACTCTAGGGACACATGGGATTAGTCAGGGTATGCGTAAAATCCACTTTATGGCAACATCCACGGTTATCAAAAGAACAGATGACTTCAACCAGACACCAGTGTTGTGTTCATAGTCAAAGACTTGCTGAAATAAATGCCTCTATGAATTCTTGGCTTGGCTTCTGATTGGTTCTCTTTCCAGCTGGTGTTCTTATCTCAGTAAAACTTTCAATACCAACCTCCCACATACCAAACGATCAGTCCCTTGAAACTGTAAGCATATTCGTAGATTACAATGCAAAAAACTGATAACATTAACCTGAAGAACTTCCTGAAATCAAAGCAAAGTTTAAGGCTGAACAAATATTAGAACAAACAAGCTCACAAGAGTATCCATCTATAATCACCTCAAGTAGGAAAAAAGGAAAAAAGAGAAAAAAACCACGTCGTTTCTTATAAAAGTACATTTGAGAATAAAAGGAAGAATGGGGACTAATGTGTCGTGTGTTCGCAACCATTGGTTTAGAGGAACTTTCGCAGCAAATGCTCGACTCATCAACTTCTACCTTCTCACTGCAACTGGAAGCATATAAAAGGACTGTATGCAAGCTAGTGACCATATCCGTCAAGCTATCAAGACTTCCTTGTGGGAAGGAACTTCAGCTCCCATTTGTAAGTCTGTCTTGGAAGAGTTCCCTTTACCTCGATGATGGCAGGTGCAAAATCAGTAGAGGGATCTTTGGTATTTCATTTATATTGTTACACTACAAAGATATTGGGTTTATAGGACGCCAAAAATGCGTAGATGTCCTAATAGACTACTTTTAAAATAAAACATTCAATTTGAAAAATGTATTATAAAAACAAGTATCCTACAAAAAGACAAGATCTTAGTACACTTCTCAAAAGTGTCCTATAAAAAAAGCTAATACGACACCTTATTTGAAAAGCGACCTAAAAACTTGTTAAGACGTCCAAAAACGTCCTATGAACTTATTATAACACTTTTACATAGGACACACAATTGTTTCTTCCTATAAACTCAAATCCTATGATGCAGACATTTAGACATTCTTGAGTCCTGTAACCCGTTTTTGTTGTAGTGTTAGTTTCACTTAATGCATCCTTAGTTGTCTCCAATGAAGATCCTTTTGCCTTTGGAGATGTTTTCTCCTCTTCCTGGCCTCAGATGCAGCAGCCATATCACATAGTTTTTTACCTGAGCAAACAACTGGAACTTGATGAATTTCATGTATAATATGCTCAACAGGGTTGATAAGGTTTCTACTTCTGGTTTTGGACTCTATTGTTAGCGGACCGCCAAATTGGGTCCCATCAAGAGCTTTTGCAGGCATAGCTTCTGTTGAACATGAAGTTTCTGGCTCAACCATTTTGGGAAAGATTGGCATTGATGCTTTTGAGATTGAACTAGAAGAGTGCAGACTGCCTTGGGAAGACTCTATTGGTTTCTCATTTAGATTAAAAGAACGAGGATGATGTTCATTATCATTGTGGAGAAAAGCAAAAAGCCATGGATGTGGAAATACATATAGCGGACTTGTTATACCATTGGTTATAGTTGAAACCCCTTTGTCAGAAGATGATGAATTGGTTATTGTCAAGGGGAGGAAAGGTGACCAATTACACTTGATAAAGGGAGAATTAGTAGATGAAGAACAAGTATTTAGCTCATCATAACTTTTTCTTGATTCTCCATGGATTTCATCTGCTTCAACCTTAACCATCTACAGCAAGAGACCCATATCAAATGTGGTACTTCTTTTAAACTATCAGATGCCTTTATAATTTTGATCATATTTTCACCTGTGCTTTTAAGCGTTCGTTCATATCCTTCAAGGAATCAAACTCTTTTGAAGCCATCTCCTTTTTCTAATAACACAAGTGGATAAAATTTAGAGTCATAAAAGTCTTGGGCATTAGGAACTGGATCATAAGGAAAGGCTATTGATGTAAAACCATGCTGCTCAAAATGTCAAATTCTGTCGGTCAAATAATGTCAAAAACAATAAATTTTCAAGAAAAGACCAACCCTTTTCAAATTCTTGTTCTCCCATGCTAGATCAGCAGCTTTTCTGGTCAACTCCTCATATATGGCCTTAAAAAATTCATTGTAAAGAGAGACCTCAGTAATGGTGTATTTTGATATATTATCTTCTATAAACGAAGACATATTAATACACTAGGGGAAGGTTCAAATAAGAAAGGGCAAAAATATGGATAATGTAAGAATAAATGATTCATATGTAAACCATTGGTAAACACATAAAAGATATCCATTTTTAAGATGCATATGTGAACCGACGTTCGCTTGCCTACCTTTTTATCAATTATTGACATGAAAATGCATACATGAACCCATGTTTCGTATTACCAACAATTCACATATGAATAATTTATTGGTTGGTTGAGAGCCTTTTTGCCTTTCTTATTTGGACCTGCCTGTAATTCACTATTTGACACAGATATATCGAGGATGTTAGCCCCCACACACTGGCTGCCTGACTCATAAAAACAATAACTAAAAAAGGTTGCATAACATTACAAGCAAGACCAAGGAATCCTTCCTGAAAGAGTCCTCACTGTTCGAGCCATTCTTTTTACATTCAAAGTCCGAGCACAAGCTTAAAGGAGTTCTTTAAAAAATTGGGGCCAAGGAACTTAAGCAGCTACTAGAGAACATACCACCAACCAAAGGGTCATTGGCCCAACGGCTGGGTTACCAGTATAGCTCAAACTCCTTAGAAGTCAAAGGTTCAATCCTTACCAAATGTGAGGAGTGTATATAATAATTATGCACTTCCAGAAACGATACTACCATGCTTTAATCTGGAAATGCATCTTACTTCTACTCGGTAGTCTCTCCAATATTCTGGAATTTCAAGACAAAAAACTAACTTTGTGATTTGTGAGCATAAGACCACAAGGAACTTGAACGTTCAACTATACATGAATCTAAATAAATTTTGTACCTTTGGATCTCAAAAATTGACTAGTGGAAGTCAAAATTCTAACCCTAACTGAGGGAGCATAATTTTGGGAAAAAGTCAATACCTGTCTCCTACGTATTGTTTGTCTAGCTGACTCTCTGTTTGCAAGCACCCTACGTATTTTTCGTGCTTCCTTTTCAGCCTGTATCAAGAAAGTTTAGGCATAAAATACAGATAAAAGTGTTGGAGTCTCACATGTGCTAGACTTTGACCATTTATTTTCTAGATATGTTCGAATGTCTCTTCTCTCCTCGAGGGTTCTATTTTTGGTGAGTAATATAATGCGATTCCACATATTCATAATCTCGCAAAAATATAACAAAAACGACTCTGAAATCTTCAATACCTCAGTCAAACGCTGTCTAGATTTCCTGCCACTTGAAGATGCATACTTTGTGGGATAAGAAGCAGTTGATGGAAGTTCTGCATTCTGTTCATCCTTCACCGGTTTTGCAGTCCAGATGGATGTCTTTTCTGATTCCTTCCGACAAAAATTAGCTTGATCCTGCTTTTAGACCGAAAAAGTGTCAAACTCTACACATTATATATATATATATATATGTGTGTGTGTGTGTGTGTATATATGTATGTATGTATTTGTTTAACAGACCAAGATATTCTCCATTGGAAATGCAGAACTCATACAAATAGAAGTGCAATAAAGTGCATCATCTTTCAGATAAGAAAGAAAAGGAAGATTTCACTAGACAAAGTATTCATCCTAAACGGAGAAAACCCTGCAAGGTTTTTAATCTAGCCTTATGGAATGTCTTAACTGAAGAAGCTAATCCAGATTACAATACTTTTGGAAGCTGATGATTTTCCATCGTTTTCTTGTGGTTATCTCAGTTAATTTCATGCATAAATTCAAAATGAATTTTCGTTAAATAACAATATAACACAAACCTTTTGGTCTGTAATATAGGATAACATTTCTATCAGCATTTGAAAAGGTGCTCTACTTGAACAAATAGCTATGAAAAAACAGCATTAGATCTTGCGCACTTAAAATCAAGGAACTGAAATTGATGACTGAATCTGACAGTGAATCACAAACCAATTACACTTCCAAATTGACTAAGGTTCAATTCATTCAATCAAACCAGAAAGAATTTTGAAAACCATAAGAGTGTTTCTGAGATCTGAATTATAAACCGCCATTCTATTCATGGATAACACCATTTTACAACAAACAATAATCGATACAAACAAAATGAGCCAGAAAACCTCATTGCTGAGAACGAACAAACCTCAAAGAGATGCTTAGGGAACGATTCAACTAGGTTAAAGCACGGGTTACCACTGTCTGATTCACCACCACGAGTCAGAAACCTATTAGCGGCCACATGAGCTAACTCCGCCAAAGCCTCAGCCGCTTCCAACTCAATCTCCACCATCCGATCCTCTTCCGCCACATTATCCGAACTCAATACCTTAATATCCGCCATGATTTCCTAAAACCACCACCAGCAACAGCAACAGCAGCAGCAGCTGCTTTGTGGAGAGAGAGAGATTAAAGTCGGCTGGATTTACAGGGGGAGAGAGAGAGAGAGGACAGATGAGAGAGTTGAGGGAGAGGGTGACACGTTTCATGCCAGATCACGTCTCACGAGTTACGGGGAGTGGTGAATGTATGAGGAAACGACACGTATCATTGAGGCACAGGCCACAGTGGCAGAGAGGGACAGGTGTGACGTGGAAGAACGGTTGGTAGGGGATTGGGTGTCTATGGGACGGCGCAAGCAGAATCACGTGCACCCCTTTCCGTTTATGTATAACAAGTGGACACACGACTCGTTGGACCCCAATCAAAACCAAAATTGACTCAAATGACAAATCCCTCGTGGTGTTCTAACCATTTTTCTACCGTACTAATTTAAATGTTACTTGATCCGTAATATTTATTATGGACTTTGTTAAAAGACAACAAAATCATGAATTTCGTCCTAGATCCGCAATGCCCCATCCACAATATTGTGATCTTACACGAGTCAACATCCTGATCAGACCCGATTTTATTCGGTATCAAAAGCAGATCCGCAATATGTCGGCTTCAGGTCCGCCATTATGGATCTAGCTTTTTTTGTATATTACATCCCTTTAATCGGCCATTTATCAAACCCAACAACCCCACCTACTCATTTAACACCCCCTGGAAACCGATTCATCTATAAGAAAAAGTTGGGAGACCATCAAATACCCCACACAAAAAATTTACGCAAGAGTCTTCACACGCCGCGAGTCGATACTTCACACACGTAGCTTCCGTAAGTCATTATGTTCACGCTTCCGTAATGACCGAGGTTAGTCCAAACTAAATGTTATTCTCTCTATGTTACTGTTTTCATCTATGCCTTAAACTACAGTCGAGCACCACCATAGTGAAACCATGGTTGAGCACCACATTGTCGCTGCAATGGCGCACCTGCAGCCACAATATTGTGGACCTATATCTATAATGGCGGATCTGGAGTCGAAAACCCTTATTCATGTATAAAATTTACATATTTGTCCCCTATATTTTAGAATTATACATATTTGCCCCTGCATTCATGAAATTTTTGCATTTGGTTCTTATTGATAGCATCTATAGATTTGGTGTGTATGATTTTAGAATATATATATAGATTTATGTCCCTAAAGTTTCCTAGTTTACGTATTAGGTCCCTAAAACATGCAAAATTTACACATTTGATCCCTATAATTAGATTATGTACACATTTGGTCCCTATAATGATAGCATTTACATATTTGGTGCACATGATTTTAGAATATACAGATTATGTCTCTAAAATTTCCTAATTTACGTATTAGGTCCCTAAATTACAAAATTAACATATTTGTTCCCTATAATTAGAGTATTTACACATTTTGTCCCTATAATGATAGCATTTACAGATTTGGTGCGCATGATTTTAGAATATACAGATTATGTCTTTAAAGTTTCCTAATTTACATATTAGGTCCCTAAACTTACAAAATGTACACATTTGGTCCCTATAATTAGAGTATTTACACATTTGGTCTCTATAATGATAGCATTTACATATTTGAAGTGCATGATTTTAGAATACACAGATTTTGTCCCAAATTTTTTCTAATTTACACAATAGATTGCTAAACTTACAAAACTTACACATTTGGTCCCTATAATTAGAGTGGTTCCTATAATGATAGCATTTATAGATTTTTTGTGTATGATTTTAGACTTAAAGTTTCCTAATTTACACATTAGGTCCCTAAATTTACAAAATTTACACATTTGGTCTCAATAATTAGATTGTCGTTATGACTTTGTCCATACACTTGTCATAGCAATTGAATTAATATGCGTGGTAGTTTTTATAAGGCTTTATTGACATTAAAGTCAAAGATTATTGTGATGGAAGAGATTAGGGAGAAGGTAATAGGCAGAGGATGGAGATTTTTAACTCCACCTTTTCTTGTCCATGGTTGGACCTTAACAACAATTCGGCAGACCCAATGCTTGTCCATACCTTTTTACAGACACAAATTTTCCCTGATAATGCACAGGACGAGATGTTTTTTAAGGTCGGTGACTATATACTTCGGTATGGACGGGAGGAGTTTTGTCTTGTGATAGGACTCCATTTTGGACCGATGCCGACCCTCTGTCTGGTAAAGGTGGGTTTCATCCATAGGGTTTTTGGTGAATGAAAGTTGATGGTCAGCGATATCATTTGTGTTTTGGGCGCCTTAGGTAGGAAGGACGGTCTTTTGGACGATGATGTTGTCCGAGTTTGTTTAATGATGATGGTTGATGTCTTTTTTTTTGGTCGTCGGGCACATTTGCTTGTTATTGATACCTGATACCCTGATTAGGGTGACAGAGGATTTCCATGTTTGGAACCATTTTCCTTAGGGATCTTATATCGGGGCACCTACAAATTAGGCAAATGAATGGTGTCATCCAAGGGCAGCAAAACACATCTAAAATTGTTCTCTGTTATCTGTCTTATTTTGTGTCATCGTACCAGGATTATGGAGCTCCAAATTATACAGGTAAGTAGGGAGTCGCGTAAATGAATCCTCAGGGAAACCCTTCACCATGGTTGTTGCATAAGCTTTCGCACGCCAAGCTTGCAGTACAAAATATTCATTTTAAAATGTTATCTTACATCGTTGACATTGTCGGATCCATGAAGTGTCCTGCTAGTATCATGCACTTTAGGATAAATTAAATGACCCGACACTCTTCTATTTGCTTGACGGTCGTTGGGATGCATCTGGGTCTTTGAGCAAGTGTGTACGTCATGCACCTTTCGTATGTGAAACATCTTTGTTTTTTCGACAGAGGTTGTCATGATATGCCAATCATAGTTTGCTTCAAAAAATTTCTCCCCATATCCAGTTTTTGAAGATTTATGCACTCTAACCTGGAAACCCTTTTCATTAAACTTCAACCCGAGGACGAGTATCATTTTTTCTTTCATAGGGAATACCTGCGGCAAACTTACTCTACCACTACGATTATAAGGTATAGGTTGGTTGGGTATGATGACGGGCTCTAATGTTGGAAAGGGTGGAGGCATATCAAAAAAATCATTTGTCCCATCAAATTATTTAACTAAAGAAGTTTATGTTGTTGCTTCTTCATCAATATCAGTACCAAATATACCCAAGTAGTAAACATATGACTCCTCATCGTCTTTATGAACTTCTTCTTCTTCTTCTTCTTCTTCTTCTCCTTCTACTACTTGTTCTGTCAGCAGAACAATTCGGGGATATACTCACTAAGACCTGTTCCAGAATAAAATCGAAGGTAATCTAATATGCATGCTTGTTTTCTAAATCAAACTGAGGCCCGTAAAAGTTTGATTCTGCTCAGGAGCATACACATCACCTCCGGTGTTTGAACTACCACCAACATTGCTTCAACTGCACATCCACAAATCGACATACACATAAAGTGTTGGTTGATTATCCGAACAGGTAGCAAGTTCCATGAAAGACAAAACATCTTCAGTGTCACCTAACTCATAAATTTTTCCAGAATACTTGTATGCCATTCTAGTGATACCAACAGAAGAGTTGATACAACATTTTGTTTGAACATAACTAACCAACCTTGAATGTGTAATGTTTGATGGCACCATGATGCGGAGCATCGGTTGATCAAAAACATACTCCCACTCTTGATTACTTTGCTGCCTCGAACCCCCACCACTAATGCGTAATATAATTCTATTAGTTCCAGAACTCATTTTGAAAAAAAAACACAGAAGAAGGAAAAGGAAGATACACGAGAGAAATATTTGATTGAAAAGTTGGTTGAAAACTTGGTGGTCTTCAACAATCATCGTTGGTCTTCTTATACAAAAAATTGATGGAATCAAATTGTACCAACACATTGAAATTAATGATCTGCTGAACTTGTAGAATTCATAATCATGGTGGAAAAATACAGTACACAACAACAAAAAAACATACCTGACAAACGTGAAAATGAGTTTTGTAGCATAAATTGTGAACCTAGGTCCGCAATATTGCAGATGCATCATGACTTACGGATTTGCCACTAACATGTAATTACGGACGTGAATTAAGGTTTCTATCGTGTGGCACGTGTTAGATCCGCAATATTGTGGACGTGGCATTACAGACATGGCGTTGCGAACGTAGATTACGGATGGGGAATTGCGGATCTAGGCTGAAATTCATGAAATTTTTTGTCTTTTAGCAAGTCTGCAATACTGCAGATTTGGGTATTGCGGATCAAGTGACATTTGGGTCAATACGGGAGAGAAATAGTTAGGAGGCCATTTTGGGTGAGGGATATGGTCATTTGAGTCAATTTCCCCAACCAAAATCAAGTGGGCCAATTTTAACATTTTTCTAACCCACATGGATTCCAGTTAAAAGTTTAAACCATGGTTATATGGTGCGATATAGCTGCAGACATTTTCAGTAAGGAAAAATTGAATTAAAAAGTAATTGACAGAAATAATCAATATTACTTGTAGGGGTGTACGCGGGTTGGGTTGGGTGGTTTACGATAATTTTACAACCCAACCCAATTATGGAGGTTTGGAAAAATCTCAATCCTAGGGGGTGTAAATGATACGAGACAACTCGCAAGCTACTCGAGATCGACTCGGTCAAAGTTTGGTCAACACTCGACTAAAATAGGCTTGGCTCAAACTCAAGGTCGACTCGACATAATAACAAGTCGAGTCAAGCTACCAATACTCGACTCAAAAAACTTGTGAGATACTCGATCTTTTTATATATAATTAGTTTTAAAAATATAATCAGTTTTATAATATAATTTGAAAAATATAAAGAATAAATGTCTTATATTTTTAGATATTTGAACAAAAATATGCATTTTTTAACTATAAAAACTAAGTAATTATTTTATATTAAAATCATAATTTAAAAATGACAAAACAGTCATAAAAGCGTTGGTGAATTTGTCGCACATTGGAAGAGATATGGTAAAGGAAGAGTGAAA